TCCGGTTTGCCGGGCCACGGCTCTCATTTAGATATACGAAATCCAGTCGTTTTTCTCCATAGATAAACTAGAAATATCAGTTAACTAAAATAGATAAAGGCGGCTTAAACTGCGATATAGGGTATGGTATGTATTATTCCATTAATAGCGCAGCTTAAAAGTACGACTAGTTAACAAGGGAATCTTGCAAACTTTTTTTTTTGTCTTCTTAAGGTTAACAAGCAGACAAGGTATTTACTAAGCTACTACTAATGAAACTGGAGGATGTGGGATAGAGTATCGTAAGGTTCGTGTTATTATACGAGGTGAAACAAAACAATAACTTATCTTCTTCATCATACAATCAAGAGATCGATGGGATTTAATAGTAGTCAAAGGAAATTCATGCTATTGATTTCAAGCAGCGACTCAAGATTTCTCTTGTAGTAGATAGAAGTGATAGATAGAAAGCTCATCGTCAGCTTAAGCTAACCTCATCGAACAAGAAACGAGATAGAAGCACGGAACAAAACGAGGGGAGATTATACGGGGTATAGATTATGGTGTAATGTTTAAGTCGCTGGAGTTCGGCAGTTTCCAGATAAAGTAAAAAATACATGAATATTAGATATATCAAGTAGAAATAAAGTGAGAGAGTTAAGTACTTGTACTTGATGTAGCAGAGCCGCGGGGCGGCTGAACGAAAGGGGAAAAAGAAGGGGTTTTAAGGTTCCAAGGTTTCCATGCTTAGCGGGGCTAGTCAAGGGGTTAAAGACACGCTATGTCGTATGTGGGGTTTCTTATGGAGTTCAATTAACCAATTAGAAACCCTGTAAATTGAATAAGCGCGTCCCTGTAACACAGTGAAGCAACGTCCATACAAAAACCCAACAGATGTAAAACCAAATAAAACCAAATAAAACCAAATTCCCGACACAGACCCTTTCTCTCTACCACCTCGAAACCATACACTACCTACATACGAAAGCCCTACCAGCGATACCATAACAGTACCTCTATATTCTCTATATCGAATAGCCTCGGCTTACGTATTGGTTAGGTCTATTATCTATTATCTATTATGCGTCAAGCTACACAAAATAGTCAACCTTTTACTCGTATCGTAGCATCAACTGTTGCTAAACATGCTCTGCTACTCTCTGCTACTCTCTGCTACTTAATTCTCCGACAATATAATATCGAGAACGAGCTGGCCGACTAGCCAAAATACATACATATGACATCCACTACTAGCCAAGGTTGTACGAGATAAGGGACTCAAGTCAAAAGGCGGCCCCTCTTCTCTGTAACCTGAGCTAGAGACCACTTTTCTTTTCTAACCTCCCGTCGAAACGAACATGGGTGCGATGGAACGGAACAGGAAAACAAAAGTGCATCCCATCTAGATCTGGATGTCTTTCTCATGCCCGCCGGCCACATGCGGCGGCCGGTTTATGTTACATCCAGCGTCATTTACGTAGTAGCCATGGCTTTTGAAGACGTTACGAAGACGATACGAAGTCGATACGAAGTAATTGTATATATTCGTCTTCTATGTAGATAGAGCTCTGCTAGAGTTCTATCAAAGCCATCTTCTTTCTTGTGGCTATATTCTCGAGCATAGAGTCTATTATCATCATCTACCTAAGGAAGGGCTCAAATTTATATGAACGGTTTCTTGGGTTTATCCCTCTCGCCGGTAAGTGTTTACTGGTAGGTTTGCCCTCGTGGTTTCGGATAACGGAATGGATAAAATCCACCTCAAGCGCTTGTCCTAGCTAGGGTTATCCGTTTTGGATCGATGCACACGGATTTCAGCCCAGCGCATCAAGCCAAGACTATGCCTCCGTTTTCCTCTCCTCCGCTCCAGCTTTAAGCTCTTGCTCTCTTGCTACAGGGTTATAGTCGAAAAGGCGCAAAGACGTGGTGTGGTAATACCCACCCCCGGCAGCCTCAACCCTAGTCAATCTAGAATGTGTCGGCCGAGTATCAAGATGTAGAAGATGCATTATCGTTATTATCTGCCTTTCGTCTCACTTTTTCTGACTGATCTTCTTCCCTTTTGTTCCCTCTTTACCACCGTATAGGTTCAACCACTGTATCATTGACAACGTTGTTGCGAGCCTCCTTTCTTTTCTTTCGCAGCTAGCGACCACTTTCTTTCATCGTCCAACTGGCTTGGCTGCTTACGCTCTTTTTTTGAATAATCATTTTAGTCGTTGGTAACATTTGGACTAGTCTACGCCTGTCTATTCGGTTCGTTTTTTTGTATCTGGCTTATACGTTTAATTTCTGACGTGACGAAAAAGAGCTCGGATATACGGTCTTATTAACGAGTCGATCTTCAGCAACTTCGATTCCTGTAGCAGCTTGGCCTGCCTATTTTACATATAACTCCTTTTAAATTCGTTGAGGCAGCGCCGTCTTCGCTATTCTTGCAACCATCTACCTGTGGTAGATTACGAATACATGATGTCTCCACCACTGCAATTAACCACATCCTCCGCTATGCCATACACGCCAACAAGCGATGTTCTTGATCGACATGAATATGGGGTCTCGAAGAATAGGAAACTAACAGCATCAACTGGCGGGGGGAGAGCTTGGAGCGAGGACGAGGTGTGTAGAAACTGAACCTACATTTCTCTTGGCCCTATACTATGGGCCTATATAGGGGGAACATGTTATCGTGGTTATAGAAACTAATGTATAACGAAATAGGAGGTCTATCTTCTTCAGACCCGCCTTCAAAAGATGCCATATAAGCACATCGCCGCTCACTTGAAGAAGACCGAGCTAGCTTGTCGTCTTCATTATCACCAGTTGAGCCATGGAAGCAATCGCCGGAAGCGGACTACGTCCGTGTCATCAGGTTCCTCCACGGGGCATTCACCTATCTTACCGGCAACTATCCCATCGCCTATCCAGGAGAGCCCACGCGACTCCTCACCCGTGAGTGCTACCGGCCACGAGCTCGACTCGCCTAGTTATACGACTTCAGTGCAACTCCCTAGTATTATAACGAATGCCGGGACCTCACCTCGTCTTCCCGCAATCCTGCCAAAACCGTCGATAATTGCTCTCCCACATGCAATCCCCTCAGCTTCGTGTAGCTGTCCTGCCTCGGGTCCCGATTCATCTCGGTCACTAGCGCCGTCTCCATTTCCCCAGTCCGCATCAACTAGCCAGGTACCAGTACTCCGGCTTGACTGTTCTCTTCCGCTGCCTTCGGCTCACGTGGACATCCCTCGACTGCAATCGATATATGCCGCACATCGGTCGTCATTCTGGAGCGCTATCGCATCTGAATATGGTTCGGGAATCAGTCCCATTGTCCTAGAACAAGCGTGGAAGGCCAGCGCATTTGCTATGGGTGGTCAAACCCCAATTACCCCGGTCACTAGTCCTAATGACCGCGATATCATCTATGAGAAGCATGACAAGACCCGTATCAGCGCTATCCTCGGCATCGATGCAAATCCACGAAGTCCGAAAGAGAGAGAAATGGTTCGGCGATTAGAAGAAGAACGAAGCGTTGGTGTAACCGCTGGTGCTTAGAATTCTAGGCTACTATTCATATGGAAGATGAGCACGGTGTCGTTACTCCTTTGTCGATACGGTACTTCACGTCGGTACTATCTTATTCTCGGGATAGATTGTTGCCCATCCCAGCTGGGCAACTATTTCTGCGTCATCTATCTCGCCCTTGTATGCCTCTAGATTTCCTAATTGCACATATCAATCAAAATTTACACATCGATTCTACTCGGAAATATACGGCGGTTGCTACTGCGACCACCGCTGAATAAACAACCCCTTTCACTGTTTGTATCTTGGGTTTGGTGGCTTGTGGGAACGGCCGGAATGGTCGTGTAGCTGAACAGGTGGAACTATGCTATGCAAAGCGCCTTAAAGCGTCTGGCAGGGCTCTTATGTAGCGGATGCTATGAATACATTAACATTGCGATATTAGCTGGCAGGAGGAGCTAGTTAACATGATTGGAGGTTGAGGTAGTCTATGGAAGAGGTGGGAAGGGGGGAATGGCGAGATGTTTTGAACGGCCGCTAGCTATGATTCAGTTTCACGTATTACTGGATGAATATTTCTTTTTAATATTTCCTGCCAGCACGATTTATGATGCAAATACAATACCCGATTATTATGGGCAAGGAATTCTGTACATTATTTTTTTTTTTTAAAACAGCTCTCAACGAGCAGCCTATGTTCTATCTAGAGCAAGGAGAAAAGCGAATGATATTCTATCTTTTACGAATGATAGTATCCCTGGTCACTATTGCTGACACAATGTACTGTCTGAATTATACAATATCGTATTAATCGTAATAACATTTTATTTACCCAAATTACGTATAAACTTATATATTTACTCACCTTATACATAATATATATAATCCCTATATTTATCTTGGTTCGTTCCGCCGGAGTCTTGAGCTGGAATCAGCATTGAACAAGCAATCAAGGGACATAAATAAGGCAAAACTCGTTACAGGAGCTGCACGTAACACTTAGCGCCGTCTCCTCATCTCGACCCAACTCCTCAAATCAAAAACTACAACGAAGATACCTATAAGCGCGAATATGGCAGACAAGGAAATAGAACATGCTAGCGAAACGATGGTCCCGATAGAGGCTATCCAGACGGTGGATCCCGAAGTCATCGCTAGTCAGGACCCTTTTCTTTACCTCTAACTATACTTTACCTTGAACTCCTCAAGTGCCTCATACAAATACCAAGGTAATAACCTAGGTGAGAGGTACTTATGTACTAATAGCCATGTAAACGCAAGAACTTCCTCCCGCGACCCAGATCTCGATCGTTCCCCACGGCATTAGCCTGTGGACACGCACGGCTCGTCTAGATGTTGACTATGATGGCGTTCGCAAGGCATATTTCCTCAAGGTGAGTCACAAGCCTGCACACACACACACACACACATATTGTATATAAGCGCGTACCTTATAGACTATGTAGACTTCTTACGGCGCCCTCGGCCGCGCAATGACGCAAAGCGAGTTCCGATGTATGTCCCGCATCCGCCGCGTCGCGTCGGACCTAGTACCGGAGCCCCTTGCTTCCGGGTCATTTTATAGCGTGCCGGACGTGCATTTCCTGCTGTGTGAGTTTCGGCTCATGACGGGGGCGGTCCCAGCCCCCGAAGCACTCGCCGCGAAGATTGCGGAGCTGCATCAGTGTACTGGCGATGGTAGTGGTGGTAGATTTGGGTCGGACGTCCCGACTTTCCATGGGAATGTGCGCGTCGACCATGGCTGGTCTAGGTCCTGGGAGGAGTACTTCGCGAGGACGACGAAGGTGCTGTTTGGACTGGAGCAGGAGGCGCAGGTACGTTAGTTTATTGCCTGATTATGGGCTACTCACTGCATCTGCCGAGACACGTAGCATATCTTCGTCTCCGTGGGATTCTTAACTAATAGCTCCCGTTTACTTACTCGCAAGACACATGTGTAGGGACCAAACGAGGAAATAAGGGGGATGATATCGACTTTCTTCGACAAGGTAGTACCGCGCCTCCTCCGCCCTCTAGAAACAGGCGACCGCTCCATCAAGCCGTGTCTTATCCACGGCGACCTATGGCACGGCAACGCCGAGACGAATGCGGAAACTGGCCTGCCCGTCATCTTCGACGCGGCGTCTTTTTATGCCCATAACGAATGTAAGAATTGTCTAAGCTTCTATTAAGGTCCACCAACTGTGGTGTTAGAGCGGCAGGCTTACAGGAGAAACGAGAGCAGATGAGCTGGGTGTCTGGCGCCAGCCGTGGAACAAGATTGGCGAGGCCTACCGGGCAGAATACCACAAGTATATGCCTAAGTCGAAGCCGGAAGAGGACTGCGACGACCGGAACGCCTTATATTCAGTGTGAGACTTCTCCCGCCTCCCCTTTCCATCCATATTTCTTGAAATACAACTACTTTTAATGGGAATACTAATAACATTGATCGTGATAGTCGAGTTAATATCCTCGACTCCATTTTATACAAGGACGATCCTAGTTACCGACAGATGTAAACAAGCCCAGTTGGCTGGGAATGTGACGTTTGAAATGTGCTGACCTTCATCATAGGTTGATATCTGGTATGCGCGAGCTCGTCGATAAGTTTCCCGGCGGCTTTGAAGAGTGGGATGCCTCGCAGGAAAAAGGAGGCGTATAAGAGGTAGATTTGCACTCGGTGATTGTTAGTTAATAAGTATATGCTGGACTATTAAAATTATATGTTCGAATGTGGGATATTATCAGGTAACTATGCTATATTCGAGCGAACATTGATGATCTCGCTACTTATCCTGTTTGCGATATACTTCGACTGCTTGCTCCATCATATCAATGTCTTCGTATAAGTGATACTCGGAGTTTTACCATGCGAGATTCATATACCCCCACATACATGTATCTCTCTAACTCATCTCCACAAGAATACTCTCAAGAGTCTAGTTCACCCTAATTCGACAATTTAATGGTTTACTCTTAGTTTAATGCCATTCTTTTCCTTGTCTCCCTTGTTACCTGCATATGACTCTGCTTTCCCCTCCTATACTCGGTTCCGACAACACGCGAGGTTTGGAGCGGTTCGACTAATACCCCAAGAAAGTAGTGTATGTATTAAACTAAATGCAATAGGTATATCCTAGAAAAGTTGCTTTTTGGTTCGTGGGTCATGTGGATATCATTACGGGTCTGGTACAGCTCGCCTATGAACCAGTCGTCTCTCGAGGATTTCAAATTACTAGCTTCATATGTACGAATGCAGCTCCTGGTAACCGAAGCATCTCCGCTCCGGGACCCGGGCCTTTGCCCGTTTCTAAACCCTCGTTACGTCAAACCTCCGAATGTCTAGATCGTCATAAGATCTGAACTTCCCCGGCAATTCCTTTACCCCGCAGAGCTAATACTAAGGTTCTTAAATATAACTTCTGTATAAGTCGTAGTGACTTTTCGTGAAGGAAAAAAAAACTAAGAGCTTTCATATATAGTAGATACTAGGGTTAAATAAATTCAACATGAGCGACGCACCGGCAGCTAAGACGGGCATCAGTCCCAACCTTCAGGATCCGAAAGCCGATCCGCAATATATTCAGTTCAAGTGCCTCCCGGCGGGCGGTCCTTTGAATCGGTGGTCTCATGCGATCACAAGGGAACATGACTTCCCCGGTGCTCAAGTGCGTGGGCGTTCTATATCTAGAAAAGCTTACTCTCACACATTGACGTATAGGCTATGTTATACGGCGCCGGAGTGCCGAACGAAGAGATGATGAAGAATGCTCCTCACGTTGGAATCGCGACTGTCTGGTGGGAAGGAAATCCTGTATGTCATCCGGGAGCCTAGTTTTATTGCTCGTCTACAACCACTAACTTTTAACTCGTAGTGCAAGTAAGTGGCATTGGCCTTTGATGGGTTATAATAACCACGCACTCATTACTTGTCCCAGTAGCTAATACTTGTCGATCGTAGTACACATCGTGAGTGAACATCTAAACTACGAATTTCTTTACATGCGAGGAAACTTAACCAAGATAGTCCTCGACTTCGGAAAGATCGTGAAGAGAGCGGTAGAAAAACAAAAGATGCTGGCATGGCAGTATAATGCCGTAGGAGTATCAGACGCTATTACAATGGGAGGCGAAGGTTGGTTTGTCCTACCCCTTTTCTCTTTGACCTTATCGCTAAAAATACCATAAAAATAGGCATGAGATTTTCGCTTCAAACTCGTGATCTTATTGCGGATAGCATAGAAACCGTCACCTGTGCGCAACACCACGATGCTAATATCTCAATTCCCGGTTGTGATAAGAATATGCCGGGTGTTGTCATGGCAGCAGCACGCCACAACCGACCTTTCATTATGATTGTAAGTCGATAGTCGTTGTTGAAGCAGCCCCCCTGCTTCTGGTGATGATATTATGACTTAAATCCGTAACCCCTTTACACTAGATAATGACAACTTACAACTTTTAGTACGGCGGGACGATTCGAAAAGGTTATTCGGACCTATTAGAGCGCGACGTGAATGTGAGCACTTGCTACGAGGCTTCAGGAGCATTTGCATATGGCCGACTCCAAGCCAAGACGAACCCTGGTGCTGCAGGTCGAACCCCGAGCGATGTGTTATCAGATATCGAACGTCATTCTTGCCCCGGTGCGGGTGCCTGTGGTGGAATGTACACTGCCAATACGATGGCTACGGCTATAGAAGCTATGGGTCTTACTCTTCCTGGGTCGTCATCTTATCCCGCTTTATCTCCGGAGAAGGCTCGCGAGTGCGAACGCGCTGCAGAGGTAATTAAAGTAACCATGGAGAAAGATATTCGTCCGCGGGATTTGCTAACGAGGGAATCGTTTGAAAATGCGCTGGTCATCACTATGATACTTGGCGGCTCTACTAATGGAGTTTTGCACTTCTTAGCTATGGCAAATACAGCTGAAGTACCGCTAACTCTGGAAGATGTCGATAGGGTTAGCAACAAGACCCCATTCCTAGCGGATCTGGCCCCGAGTGGAAAGTATTTGATGGAAGACTTGTATAAGATTGGCGGCACTCCATCTGTCTTGAAAATGTTGATAGCGGCTGGTCTAATCAACGGCAATATCCCAACAGTGACAGGCCGCACACTTGCGGAGAATGTCGCCGATTGGCCCAGCCTACCGCCTGACCAGAAAATTATTCGGCCCCTTTCGGATCCTATCAAAGAGACGGGCCACATCCGGATTTTGCGAGGGAACTTCGCCCCGGAAGGCGCCGTTGCTAAGATTACTGGCAAGGAGGGTTTAAGTTTTACAGGTAAGGCCCGGGTGTTTAATAAGGAACACGAGCTCGACGATGCCCTATCGCGTGGCGAGATTCCGCGAGATGAGAACTTGGTCCTCATCGTCCGTTACGAAGGACCCCGAGGAGGGCCCGGCATGCCTGAGCAGCTAAAGGCGTCGGCAGCGATTATGGGGGCGGGGCTAAAGAACATCGCCCTCGTTACGGATGGGAGATATAGTGGTGCCAGCCACGGCTTCATAGTCGGCCACGTCACCCCGGAAGCAGCGAGAGGCGGACCTATCGCTTTAGTTAAAGATGGAGACACGATTGTCATCGATGCTATCAAGAATCGGATTGATATAACCAATGTGGACGAAGAAGAACTGAAAGAAAGGAAGAAGACGTGGAAGGCTCCTCCTCCAAGAGCCAGGAGGGGTGTCTTGGCAAAGTACGCCAGACTGGTTGGTGATGCTAGTCATGGTGCTGTCACAGACCAATGGAACCCGGAGGATTAGGTATTACTGGTTCCCGTGAAATCAGGATAATTTGGAAAGCAGTTTATTCAGCCACTCCTAGGACTTTGTACATACCTACCAACTATGTGAAATATTCAGGTAGTGTGTATCAATATTGGTGTTGTTTGATATCGTACCAGGAATTTCAGCTGAGGAAATACGATTCTTATTCCGAATGGTCCTATCCGTGATTGAAAGCTCGCTGTCGCTGAGAACGAGGGAAATCAATGATAGACGTCATTTCGGATATAGTATAAATGGAATAGCACCGGCGATGTTTAGGATAGATAGCCTCAATGGTCTGGCTACAAAGTACTGATTTGAAAATCATACCTTAAGGTAGTGTAAGTTAGAATATGTTGCATGGCTTCTCCGTTAGCTTGAAAGTTTCGAAACGGTCATTAAAGAAAAGAGACCCGTGCGACATGTTAATGCTAAGAGTGGCGCAGGAATAGGAGAGACATACGAGCCGCGCACCATTTGTACTTTGTACCTCTTAAAAAAAAAAGAATTGATTGGTTCTCAATAGGTACTTTGCGCATGAATTTGGTACCTATTGTGCATAGTCTATCGATAAGCAGCTCATGGGCCCCACTCTTGCTAAATTCTTGAACAACAGCCACAGATCGCGGGGTTGCCGAGGGGCATAGAAAAAAAAAATTATAATTTTTTATTTTATTTCATGTACGTCGCGAGACAATCGCGATTGATCACTTTTGAGCTACCTACATATTAAACTAGCAACCTTTTAATTTTATTTTTGCAAAACCCAATAAATACTTTGCGATTTACGGGTTTACGAATTATTAGGCATCATGTCTAAACGTACAGCGGAAGCTGGTGACGAGCATGCCCCTTTGAAGGGAGGAGTTCGTCCCGAGCCTATGGATTTAGACGATAAGGAAATGGGCGAATTTGCTGATGAATTCGAGGATGAGTTTGAGAGTGAGGATGAGATTTTTGAGGCTGGTGTTGATGGTAGGCCTGATGCAGAACGTGAGGCAGAAGAAAATGCAGCCAGTGCCATGGATGTCGACGATAGCACTTTCATCGTTGGGCGCAATAAACTTGAGGCTGGTCAACATCTCGCTCCAGATCTGGGTACTTACGAAATGCTTCACAACCTCAGTACCCCTTGGCCTTGTCTCTCCTTTGACATCGTCCGTGATAGTCTTGGCGATAATCGGGAAAAGGCCTACCCTGCCACCATGTACACTGTCGCCGGCACCCAAGCCGAAAGCGGGCGCGAGAAGGAGAATCAGCTTATGATTATGAAATTTAGCGGCCTGAGTCGCATGCAGAAAGATGGCCAGGACTCCGAATCTGAAGATGACGAAGACTCCGATGATGAAGACTCGGATCCTATTCTCGAATCCAAGTCAATCCCACTAACCTCGACTACAAACCGCATCCGCAGCCACCAGATTCCCTCACAAGACCCTTCGAAACCACCCACTACTCTCACTGCAACTATGACTGAGTCTAATAGCATCTTCATACACGACGTTACCCCTCATCTAGCGTCTTTCGACAACCCCGGCACCGTCATTACGCCTCAACAGAACAAGCCCCTTTCTACAATCCGAGCCCACAAGTCGGAAGGTTACGCGCTCGATTGGTCGCCTATGGTGCCTGGTGGCAAGCTACTTACCGGTGACAACGACGGCCTGATATACGTCACGACGCGCACAGATGGCGGGGGTTGGGTTACAGACACGCGCGCGTTCCAGGGGCATACCAGCAGCGTAGAGGAGATCCAATGGAGTCCGCAGGAAGCATCCGTGTTCGCATCCGCATCTAGCGACGGTACAGTGCGCGTATGGGACGTTCGCAGCAAGAGCCGGAAACCCGCTATCACAGTACAGGTCAGCTCAGTAGATGTCAACGTGATGTCGTGGTCACGCCTAACAACCCACCTCCTCGCGACGGGTGCCGATGACGGTGTTTGGGGCGTATGGGATCTGCGGCAATGGAAGGGCGGCGCGCAGAAGCCGAGTCCCATCGCCAGCTTCAACTACCACAAGGAGCAGATCACGAGCGTCGAGTGGCACCCCACGGACGACAGCATGGTGGCCGTCGCCGCAGGTGATCACAAGGTTACCCTGTGGGATCTGTCTGTCGAACTAGACGACGAGGAAAGTAAGGATACTGCGGGTGTTAAGGACATGCCGCCCCAGCTACTCTTCGAACACATCTCTGAGCATGCTAAAGAGCTCCACTGGCATCCTCAGATTCCTGGTACCCTGGTAGCCACAGGCCAGGAGTTCAGTGTCTTCAGACCTATACCTGTTGTCTACGGTATTCACGCGAAGTGATATCTATGGACGTAGATTGAGAAATAAATGCTTACTTGGCGAATACTAAATCTTCTTCGATAGATGTTGTAAGAGCGAAAGAGGAAGAAGTCCTCTTATCATCTCTTCCCGCGGGCTAGAATATATGTCGACTAGGTATCAAAAGGACAATTAAAACTTATCTTTGGCAGCCTACATATTTATAGCAGACTTAACTTAGGGTTACGAAGATGTTGCACAGGCAAGATTCCAGAGGTGATATCATGCTGTCAGCAATCTGCTTTGCTCTGCTTTAAGGGACACTATTAGGTATAGGAGTTGGTCGCGACGAACCTACTCGTCAGAGATATCTAGAATCTAAGTTCTGGTAATATCTAGGTACTTAAATGACTATGGGGATTTGCCATGCAATATTTGCGCGGTATAAAATAGAACACCTGGGTAGGTTATTAGCTCGGATAATGAAAAAGGGGGGAACCCATAAGCCTCGTGTAGGGCTTATTCTAAATTGTTTGTTGCCTACTCTTTGCCTATATATGCAAAACCGTGATAGAAAGATATAGAAGGTGGTATACACTGTCTTGGTAGGTGATTTAGATCATATATGTAATTTCACATAATATCAGTAGAGTTCTATATTGGACTTCTACGTAGAATACAAGGCACAATAAACTGCCCACCCTCTAACTTACATTTATATCTTCAAACAGTTGGATATTGGATTATTAGTTGGTTACAATCTTTGCTTTTTCCACTTAACATACACCTTTGAGATTATTATTACTTATATCTTGTCCTTATCGCTCGGGGTAACGAAGCCATTCCGCTTGTGAACTATCTCGTGTAACCCGAGTGTTGGTATGTCTACTGATTTGGCCTTTTCTCATTCGCTGTATCGGCTTGGATTGCCAAATCTAATCGACAGCTTTGTCTCGCATGCACGGGTAAGCAAAGATATCGAGCTATTTAATGCTTACAATACACAAGTGATAATAGGGGTTTGCTCTCTTTCAGGTTAGGTTTCAGCTGGGCCGTACAAGACAACGCCACCCTACCAGCTATGAGACCGAAGGAGTACCGAGACAGTTGATAGCGGTGTGATGATTTTTTTTTTAGAAGTCTTCATCGTCATCGATGTAAATAGGGCTGAAAGCGTGTCGTCTTCATGGTGTCTCACAGCTTAGGGCCGAATCTTCTAAGTACGAAAGGCGGCGGATTTCAAGATTTTTTAGTTACACAGGTCCGTAGTACTGATCAAGTATCGACCTGAGGTTATGAGTTCTCGTGATACACGGTTTGAGTGAATTCTTATCTATAGTCTAACGAGACTCTACTTCGTATATACGCATGTGATATATCACTATAAACAGCGACCAATGGACATATATTTGTTTGACGAGAAATATCAACCACTTTATTATAATTTCCTACAGCCAGTTCTCAATTGATCTGAGTCTGTTGGGACCATGGTAGTTGGCTGAGAATTCAGAGCTACTTCAGAATAACGGGAATCTAAGGCACAGGGCCCTAGACTCAAGTAAAACGAAAATATAGCAGAGGGTTGGTATTTGCAATATAGTGATATACGTATTGACAATCCTTGAGTCTTATAGGCAGTTCCTTAGATTATAGCCGTCTATTGTATTACAATGCACAGCGAAGCAAACTGATGCATTGTACAAATTCGCGATACAACTGGACCGGAATACTTAGTTTGGAGCTTCGTAGTTTTTATAGACGGCTTTTCTCCTCCCTTACCGTCTGGAAAACACTTTGGTATTCAAGATCATTTTTATAATAATTAGCTAAAGAAGGGAGGGAAACATAACTTAACGCCTAGAACCTTTAACAAGTAAGGGATAACGCCTGTATAATAATAATATACCTATATCAACATGATAACTGGGGGGTTTCTAATGGAGTGAGAGGGTTCCATGAATATCAATACCTAGACCCTGTAGAAATCAGTGGATAGAAATCAGTGGGGCCTGCACTGCAGCAAGGGTTCAGAGGAATGTAACTGGAGCAGGATTTCAGTTTCTCCTCGCTTATATAGATGTGGCACGGGGAGGCACAGACTTTCCCTTCGTGCTAGGCATGCATCAGAAGGCTCTTGGCAGCTCTACCTTAAGAATACTTCGTGCAACTCGTAGTACCTGGGTTCGCAGTTTGAAAATACTCAAACTAAGAATATGTATAGATGAAAAATCTAGATAATCTAGGCGATTGGTCTAACCCAACTTCGGCGTAGATTCCGACGGCGCGGGTGTAAAAGCTTGTTATCTATGGCTTCGGAGTACCAACTGGATTCGGAAGAAGTAATTGGAACGCGGGAACGAGTTATCAGTGGGCGTACCCTTTTATTGATAAAAGCAATCCCAAAAAGTGAAATCATGTGAGAGAATTATATGCATCCCCAAGAAGTAGCTAGGGTATGAGGAAGTAATGGAGAGGATTCTTTGGCTGAACTTCATGCTATGATATGTATAAGGTATGTATAATATCAGATGTTGTTGCCAACGCTCATGCCGCGCCAAGACGGATCAAAGAAAGGCGGCCGTACGCTTCCCACCGTTGGATGCCGCCAAGTACCTTGGTAGGATATCCTACCAAATGGTGGTGATAGGTCAACTCGCAACTAACTAATTGTCAGAATATTGTAATGTTATTTGTCGCATGATCAGCGGGCCGTTTGTTAATTTGACGCTGTGATTGGGAGGAACTTGGTTAATACATACAGAGCGCATATAAGAATCATATCTAACTCCCCTGGAAATGCGCATGCTTTGCTTTGAATTTGCGCCGAGGAAGTAATTGGAGGATAAGAAGTTGAATTGTCCTAGTAATAAATAGTGCTATTAGTTAATGAATACCTTCTTGTCCGGGACTGGCTATTAATTTATTGCCGCTGATCTGCTTGACTATTAATTGAACCGGTAGCCAAGCATATCTGCTCAAAACCCCCTCCCTTGCATACTAAGAAATCCTTGAATAGGCAATTCATTCATCGTCTTGGTTAGCTTCATACCTTCACCTTCCAGTAACTGTTCTAGAATAACTACTCGATAACGCGATGTAACAAGATCGTAGGCGAGGCGAGTTTTCAGCAATTGATAAGGGGGGGTAAGTTGCTGCACAGAAATCCGTGCAGTTCAGCTTGTACGTCTGTAGTACCAGGTTGTCTCGTTCAAATCCTTCTCGACCAGTCCAATATCTCTTGACCGTTGAGCATCTACGCCGCTTCCCTACTAATATCGGGAGTTGCTGTCGCGTGTCTAATAGGCAGGGATAACGGGGAAAAAAGGTCAAAGCAAGCTCATGCTTCGGTCGACGCCACACCTCCGCGTCCCTTATCTTGGTTCCGGATCCATGCAACCCATGTCGAAACCATGATGCCCCAATCCCAGAATACTTATTTCTATTCGTCAGTTCTAATCAGCCAATTCTCTCGGAACGGCATCGATACAATTTAGTAAGATGATCGTGGGAAGGGGGGCGCGGGGGATGTGGTTCCCTCGATGAATTAGATTTAAGTTTGAGGTGTTGTACGTGGTGAAGAAGAATAAGATATAGGTTAGATACCTAAGTTGGATCGTGGTTTCATGAGCTTAGCTTAATAAATGTTTGTTTAAATGTAAGTTAGGTACCTGTTTTGACATGGATGAATTATCCATCTCTACTTATCTGTTGTAGGATCAGGTTAAGACGAGAGATCCCATGAAGGGTATTGAAGTAAGGGTATGGCTGATTGTAGTTGGTTCATGTCCCGAGATGTCTGTACTGCATCAATGGTAGCATGGGGAGTACCCAAGTCAGTCGAATCGAACTGGTTGTTACCCTCACCTTCCCGATATGGCTTTAGATCCTCAGCGTCTGTGGTCTCCTAGCTGAGCAAGATCGATTGTTGGAATTATTATTCCAATGAGACTCGTATTAGTGGATCGTATAGATATCTTACTTTGCTTTGCCCGCCTACCTAATCGAGGATTCACCCGGGACCAGCAACATATGCTTAATATCTTATCTCTGTTAGTGGAAACTGTCGGCCCACCTAGCCTAGATACATGCCTACATAGATAGAAAACCACTAAACCAGAACCTGGGGCCTATGATACAACCTTGAGGGATGTAACGTGGGGACCTTGAACTTTATCGGAAGCGGGTGTTGACTGACAGTAGGTAGGTATATTAGAGACGCATGTCGTTCCTTCTGCGTGTAACGCATCTCGTCTTGTGTTTTCCTCCAAGATACCCAACCCATCAGTTCATATAGCTTTCGTCTCTGATTAGACATCAGCGACTATGGCTTCGCCTGAAGCCCGCCCGGCGGAGGTCGCCGACAACATGGAAAAGAAGACGGTTGTAGTAGGAAAAGAGGGTGATGAGAAAGTTAACATCGTTGATGTAGACGTCCAGGCCGTCGAAGAGGATCTCGACCTTTACGTGCCTTTAAAGATGGAAGGCAGCATTGCCGACGAGCATGATCCCCTAACGGCCCGCGCAGTTATAGTCGGTATCGTCTTGGGCAGTCTTGTCAATGCCTCTAACTTATATCTGGGTGAGCTTCTTAAACTGCGGGTTTGTTAGGGTCAATGGCAATTCGCTAATTATACGATAGGATTGAAAACTGGGTTTACTTTCGCAGCCTCTATGTTTGGAGCGATCTTCGGGTACGGTATCATCAAACTCGCTTCGAAGACTACAATTCCTATTATCGGCGGTTCTTTTGGCCCTCAAGAGAACAGTATCGTCCAAGCTGCAGCCCAAGGTGCCGGTGGAATCGCAGGTATCTTCGTTGCAGGTATACCGGCCATGTACCAACTCCACGCGCAGGTGGGCGTCCCTAGAGATCAATTTGGCGCAATCATTACCATCACTCTAGTCTGCTCGTTCTTTGGTCTGTTCTTCGTCGCCCCTCTCCGGAAGTTCTTCATCATCCAAGTTGGCCGGGAATTGAAATTACTCTTTCCTACTGCTACTGCTGTAGCTCTCACCATTAGGTATGCAGTTCATCGACTAAACGGTGGTTTATATTAATTATTAATAATTAATATTTTTAGGTCCATGCATGCCGGTGCAACTGGGGCCAGAGAGGCTCTTAGTAAACTCAAAGCTCTCAGCTTATCTTTTACGGCTGCCCTTGTCCAACGAGTAGCATCGTATTATGCTGTTGGTATCTTATATGATTGGCATTTTTTCACCTGGATCCACATCTGGAGTGGTGTAAGTCAAAATCCTTATGATTTTCATCCGCCCGAGGAGGAAGGTTGGATCTTTTTGGAAGAGTAAGGAGTAATATTAAGAAGCTGACACGAATTTTTATATATATTAGTATACCAGCTGGGCCATGAATATCGAGAGTTGGGGTTGGTGGTTCGAGTGGACTCCGGCGTTCATCGGTAGCGGCATCCTTATCGGCATGAACTCTGCCCTCTCCATGTTTGGCGGTGCTGTACTCGCCTGGGCAATTATCGGGCCTCTCCTCGTACATTACGGCGAATGTATCGGCAAGCATCAGGTTGAGGACGATCCGCGATGGGCTGATTGGTACTCATTCGCCTCTCTCAGCAATCTTGGACACGAAACCCCGTCTCCACGCTACTGGCTCCTCTGGCCCGGAGTGCTCATCATGGTCGTAACGTCAATAGCAGAACTATTCGTCCAATATAAGGTGATCGGGTATGCTGGTAAAGTGGTCTGGCAGAAGATGTGTGTCAACATCAACACCGTCTTGACCAAGCATGGCAAGTACTCTACTTACCTTGCCGCACACGCCGAGAGAGAGGTGAAAGCTAGCGAGAATATCATCGAAGATCCGGCGCCACCGCATGAGCAAGTGCCATTATGGTTATGGACGACCGGCCTCGTCGTCACTGTCGCCGCGGCCATGGTTATCTTCGCCCTACAATGGGGAATGCATCCAGGCCTGACCGTCTTGGCTTGCGTCCTAGGTGTCATGTTCTCCTTCGGTATGTATCGTCCCCAATGATCCTTAACGTTTTTCATCTATAGTTGCTAACGGCTAGCAGTAAGTCAAACAACTCCATCATTTTCGTTCCCTTGAGGGATAAGGTAAAAACTCCCAACGTAGAACTGAGAAGCTAACATAGGATATTTTAAGCTTGCCGTTCAAATTGGCGCTGTAACAGATAACACTCCACTGACGGCCGCATCGAAAGCCAGTCAGCTCGTTTTTGGTGCTGCTACAAAAAACAACGGCTTCACGGTCAAAGATGCACAGCGAGTCAACTTAGTCGCTGGTGGTCTGGCTTCCGGAGCTGCCGATGTCGCATTTTCATTGACTTCTGACTTCCGTACTGGTTTCTTGTTGGGAACATCTCCTGTCAAGCAGTGGTACGCCCAAGGCCTCGGGTCTATCGTTTCCATCTTCTTGGCTCCAGGAATGTTTGTGCTCTTCACTACAGCGTATCCGTAAGTGTTTTTAATTTATATATGAAAAAAAAAATGAAAAAAGAATCTCACCATAGAATCACTACTAATCTCTGAAAATATAGCTGTATACTCGACGCCTCAGCTGAGCACTGCGCCTTCGCCGTCCCTTCGGTGTCCGCATGGGCTGCAGTTGCACAAGCTGTCACAGACCCGGATGTCAGCATCCCTCTAACGTCGGGTATCTTCTCCATCGTCATGGCGGTCTTCTGCGTAGGCCAAGTCATATTCAGACATTTCTACCTGGTGGGCGAACGTGAAAAGTACCGACAATACCTCCCGAACTGGGGTGCCGTAGCGTTGTCGTTTGTTCTACCTAATCCCGTGTTTACAACTGCGGCCATGTTTGGTGCTACTGTGGCGTGGGGTTGGAAGAAATGGAATATCAAGAGCTTTGATCTCTACGGATATGCAGTTGCGGCTGGTTTTATTGCCGGAGAGGGTCTTGGAGGTGTTATCGGTGCCGTTCTCCAGATCGCTGGCGTCTCGGGTGACGTTCTAGGCACGACTGCCGGTTGCCCCGCTGGTTACTGTTGATAGCCGTTTTCTAATATGTCTCTTATACCCCGGCTACGATATGTACGAGTAGCTAGATAGACGATGATGATGATAATAGTAGATGAATACCTGTTACTTATCTGTCGTGCTACCTGTGGATTTAAAATGATAATGAGACTAAATCTGATGGCCTCTATCTAAAATGCTACGCGATTAGAAGTTGAGAATAATTAATAATATGCAAGGGTTAGAAAAAGTAAGGGTAAGTGTTGAATGATGACATTTAAACTAACGAGATTGGAGTTGGCCTATATATTAGTTAAACGGGTACGAATCCATTAGCTCGGGAATATATTTTAATGGAATGAATATAGAAATAAAGTTCCTTTATTTAACTAGTTAATCCTTTAGGTTAGGTAAGTTGTTAATTCCTTAGCTTCAATGTTTTCATCTTATTGAGTGATTACCTCATAACTGTCGTAGCTATGTGAATTATGTGAATTATACGTATTATACAGTGTTAATATTATTAGATAGTAAACTGTATTCTCCCTTAGACATGCCCCACTTAGTACACTGCCATACGCCGCCTTGTACCTACCTACCTAAGGAATAACCAACACGCGTAAAGTGGGACATGATTACCTATCGATCAGTTGCTGCCGCGACGCGACGTAAGTTCTAACCTAAAGGTGAAAAAAACAAATTAATGTTAGACTTTATTCATTTATATTTTTTAACGATTTCGATGCGGCACCTTGATCAATTCTGTTAGCCGTTGTTGATACAATGCTGTTCAGAAGTGATCCTGTGGGTTACGGTTAGATGCAGCCAGCTTCTATATATAAATTAAAAAGTGATGGCTCCTGGTCAGAACACTTTTTCCATCATACCAAACGCGCTGTGCGCCATCAATGGCGGCTTGGACGCTTCCGAAACTCGGCCTGGCAAACGGCCTATGACCTCTAAGCAGGCTAAGAAAGCATATCAAAAAACAAATAAGGGGCCTAAACTATCCAAAGCCGAGCAACGACGCCAAGATCTCTTCGAGCAAGACCGCATACGACGGGAATTTGAGAAGGAGAAAAACCAGGCCCGCGCAAGGGCTGCAAGGGATAAGAAGAGGGAGAAGGAAGAAAAAGAGCGTGCTGAAAAGAAGAAGAAAGGATTGCCTCTAGTCGATGTTCATCCGTCGCAAGCTACAATTGCTTGGTTTGTCCGTGGTGATAAAAAGAAGAAGTCGGAGAGCCAACCTTTAATAAACTCGCCTATTACCGATCAGCATGAGAGCGATGACAGCGATAGCGCTACCCTATCAGGTGAAGATGAGCCCGAGCCACCGCCGAAAAAGCAAAAAACAGTGCCTCTAGATCCGGTACACAGTCCGAGCTTTGCAGGGGGTTTGAATTGTTCGGCATCGTCACTCCGGGACCCAGGCATCCGGGGTACTCCTCAAGTAGCTACCAACACAGTCAAAGGTCCAATTGAAGATGATCAGATGGTAGAACATCTGACTCCTGACGTTGATGGTATTTCTACGATGGTACTTGCCGATGGATCATTTAATGATCCAGTGGATGCTCTAAGTAATCCGCCTAGAGACGATAGGAATCCGGATGAAGGTTCTCTCCTACCAAGAGAGCAGATAATTCCCAATAGTCCATCGTCATCAAAATCGATGGATTATTGTCCTTCGCCAATCACAGTCGAGGAGTTACTACCAGCACAAAAAGCAAAGAAGAGTGTATCACCGCCGCCTGACCGACTACCACTCCAAACTCTGGGTCCAAGCGAGGTTAATTCAAGAATTACCAATACGCCTCAGGAGCTATGTCATGATCAAGCGAAACCATTAGACCACACGCCGATTCCCATTCCAGATTCAGCAGTAAATGTACCAAAGGGGACCCCGTCAATTTCACCACCAAAACCCTTTCAGAACCCCAAAACTCCGATGGGACCTCCTCCGATTCCATCAAGATCTAGACAGACTCATGCATCTGGCTCTCGTTCCGCCGCTAACCCTAACCCCCAACTCAGTCAAGGGCATAACATACTTCAGGAGGAGCAACCACCGATAAGCACTCAGTTGTTCATGCTCGGGCACCTTGATGATCTTTTCCCAAGCCCTTCACAAGAAGTGAGGGAAATCTTTGGAGAATCGAAATTTGGCATTGGAGGGGATGGCACTGAGCCCAAATCCAAAGCCGCATATACATGCAAGTCTCCTACTGGTAGGAAGCTACCTAATACGTTGATCCTAGCTGTGCCGAGTCCCGATCGCTTTGGTTCCGTTATGAGAGACGAAAAACCAAAAAATAGACCCATCCAGGGCTGTTTTTCGTCCATACAAGCAAAGGAGAGTCCTTTGCTTCCCACTGCAAATATTCACTCCTCGGGAAACTCGGAATTATTCGACACGTCATTTTTCTCAACACAGGATTTTTTCCTCTCATCACAAGATCTAGAAGACCTTGAAACTGGGAAAACGTCCCCAATAGGACTCGAACGTCGAAGTGGTTACAGTAGTCGTAACTCATCCGTAGAGAAACCGGCTCGGAATGGCAATATCAGTTTAACGACTTCGTTGCATGCACCGGCTCAAAAGCAGTCTAAAGAGATGATAATGGATTCTCGAATTAGCCCAGCTCACGACAAGAGCAGATCAACTCACGCCCAGTTACTTAGGGAACCCGCCAAATGTCTCAAAAGTCCGAAGCCGGTGTCCAAGGAAACCACAACACCGAATACGTCCTCAAGGAGTAATCATTCACAGAGTCGCAGCTTGAGAAACACAGCCGACTTTGAAAAGCCTACGGATAAGATACATGAGGCTACCTCTCGAGGCCATCAAAAGAAATCACTTAATACGCTACAAGCGGAAAAGAATATGGCACCCCCGCGGGCCTCGCCCAAACCATTCTTTACTTCGAGCGATCGAGAAGTACATCGCATATACACTAATGAGAGGCTAAAGACAATCGCATGGGAGAGTGCTTCAACCAGGCGGAGCGTACAACAGGAACTAAAGCGTCTCCAAAGACCAGAGGATGAAAAATCAAATAGATCGATGCCAGTATGTGCGATAGAAGATGGAAGCAAAGGCAGCATCAAACCCGGCGTGTCTAGCTCGGAATCGAGAACCGAAAGCTCATCCACTCGGCCATGTGACCAGATTAAGGACCAGTCGCGGCCCAGGTCTATCAATCAGCTATCAGGCTCGGTAGGAAGTTTCCAAAGTCAGAAGATCGATGAGCCGAAGGAAGTACGTCCACGACAGAACCGGTCACGTAGCTCGTACGAGAAAATGTTGGAGTTACTTGAACGCACGGAGAGTCATAAACAAGAACAGCTGGCCGTAACTGCGTCACAGGAAACAGACTATGGGGAGGCCGGATTGGATGATGTCCTCATCGAAATGCTGTAGTACTAAGACTCTGGCTCAACGGTACTGGATTAAGAAATTCGGATATCACGATTCAGGGTGTTAGGTTAATATGTATATAGGTACCCACTCTGGGTGGATAGGGTATGGGGGAGCATGAAGGAGGAGCATAAAGGGGGACGAACCATTATACCCAGCATAGCAGTCAATTATGAGATATGAATTAAGATGAGTAGAATGTGAAGGTATAGCTACGTGGCTTAGTGTCCTAATGCTTATGACTCCAGTGAGCACAGTGACTAGTTTGCTCCTTCAGTTGTCAGTAGACAACTCACAACAAGGACTGTTCCAAGGACTACTCTTTCGGATTCCTGCTATATGGCTGTATAGATTTTCATCCCATGTGGAGTGTTTGCTAAGGTTGGGTGAGTTGCTAAAGAAGTTTGTTAACGAGAATGACTTGAAATCGGACGGTCCTATCGACAGTGACGAATGAGTTAGACATTGACTTTCCTAAGGTTGGTCATAGGAACTGAAAAAATGGAACCCGATAAGTATTACGCATGGTAAATTCAATGACCTGTATGGAAGGTATTTGTCAATTCTAGCCCAGTCATGACTTCGAACGAAGTTTCGAGCAAGGAGGAAATACATAAACGCACCTTGACCCAACAACCGTTCTTTTATTCCTAAACTTCTACTCTAATTGCAAAAATACAAAACAGAAAAATGGCTACTCTACAAAACAATCAACTCCGCTGTCACTGCCACTGCCGGTCAAGCAGCGCCCCTCCCTACTCGTTGAAAGGGGTGGAAGAACACGAGCGCGTTGCGACCACATTTAGAACTCGCGACCTCGAGACGACTATCTTCGACGAGGAGCGTCGCCGCAAAGAACTCGTAGCACTCAGAGATGAATTCTCAGACTTCTCAAACAACTTCGGCAAGCGTGCGCTGCACTTTCAAAGCATCCGTCAGAACCCTACCCTCCGGGGATTCTTCGATACAACTCGGGACTTCGACCAGGAGCTCTTAGACCTCAAGTTCCAACTTGCGAGTCCTAACGGGCAGCTTTACTTCCTGCCGGAGGAAGATGCGGACAACGCGATAAGCTGCATTCGCCGAACTACCACCATACTCCTGAGCGCTCGCTGGCACATCTGGAGATGCGTCGAGCTCTCGGCGTTTCATGCTCGCTATGAGACTGGTGAGGGTCTGGTGTGGAGTACGACGCTGAAGAGGTATGTTTATCCTGGGAAGTTGGCTGCCGAGCTGGAATGTCAAATGTGCTGGGACAAGGCCCGGCCGCGGCTTGAAGGTCTTCTTAGGGAGCTGAGAAAGGAGATCCCGCACATAAGGCAGATTGTGGGTCGGCTTGAAGGCAGTCGAAAGCCCCCCTTCTTACGGGAATTGAAGGAGGCTAGTCCTCACAGCAAGGCCTCAAAGACCTCAGCTCTGCTATCATGTCTTAGCTCTGGTACCCGGTCGGGAAGCCACCAGTACGAGATGTCAGGCGGCCTATCAACCGACAAAGCGCGCAAGACTCCAACCTGGATCAACAACGTGAAGGTGCGGCTCGAAGGGGGGATTATCAACGACCCCACGGAAGTCGATTTCAGCGCCATCCCAGTCCGCATTCGGTACCGCGAACTCAAGGCCCGGGAGAAGCTGCAGGGTGGTGAGAATCTGGAGGCGATGAGGGATGCATGGGTGGCGTTCCGAGATGATCTGGACAAGAGGGCGGGGGTTCCCTCGACGGATGTGATTCTCTTGCGGCATAAGGTCGTTACGGAGGTGATACTTTCGGAGCACAGGCTGCAGCAGGCGCGGGAGCAAGGAAGTGGTGGATCTAGGGAGGATGGTGGAGCTTGAGTTGGTTTAAGGAACTAGCTTCAAGGGTTCTATTGGAGGGATAGGGGGTAGTATGCAAAGCTCGGATGTTGTGGATTGCAAAAGGTTTATGTTAAACGCTATAGTCTATAGTCGTCTATGGGATTGCGATGAGAGGAACGCTCTTTGAGATACCCAAGAGTAACTTTCCCTGCGTTGAGTTAAGTATCTACAGTTTACACATTTCGAGACGTCCCAATCTGTACGGGTAGTCCAGGAAACTGCAAGTTGTTAAACCTCGAGTCGTGATGAATAATAAAATACTGCTGAAATGGTATATTGCCAAGTTGATACGTATCTAAACTATGATCCTCCCAACCCTGCAAGTAGATCTTACGTATTACTGCATCTAGAACCTTGATGGACACCCCTGGAAGATATCTTAGGGGTATTTAAAGCTCGTGTATTCTCTTAACTTCTAACTCTCTATATCTATCTCTCTCTATCTCTATTTCTATCATGCTCTATTTGGTAATCGACTAAGGTGAGATCATGGGCTATATACTAACCGACTTCGGTTTTCAAAAGTCAAACCATTATGAACAACATTTCCTTTACTGGTATATCCAACTAGACCGACGTCTGTACCCTATTTACGATCCCTAATAGCAGATATCTCAAGGCACGATAACAGCCCTGAAACGAACTGTACCACTCTTCATGGCATCTATACGACACTGAGTTAGCTGATGTCTAATTCATCACACACAAAACAGATAACACGAATGGGTAAGAAAATAAATCTGCTAGAAGAAACGTACCCCATGCTGCTTGCGCCTGATCCAGAGGATAAGTCTCAATCATACAGTCGATGCCCTTGAGTTCGGTGAATTTAATGGTGTCTTCGGAATCTTTTTGGTGTCCGGAGGGCCAAACTTGAACTGAAGTGCCGTACTTGAGCATAGTAACAGTGTCGATTGTTAAATCACCAGGAATGCTCAATACTAGAAGCTTGCCGAGTATGCCTAGGCCCTTCACTATAGAAAATATCAGCAACTACTTCCGTAAAAAGGAGTCATCTCATTACATACGATACGGTGTCATAGAGTCAGCAGTAGGCGCCGTAGCCACAACCAGACTAGCACCACCGAGAGCTTTTAAGGCTGCACCCACGTCCTTCTCCGTGCTCGCATCGATGTACTCGTGGGCACCTAACGCTCGTGCGAACTTTTCTTTATCTGCGCCTCGGGAGACGGCAACTACACGGTATCCCATGTGTGCTGCATATTGGACCCCGAGATGACCTAGTCCACCGAGGCCTTGAATGGCGACTGTCTCGCCGACCGGGATGTTCATATTCCGGATAGAGTTGAAGACAGACACGCCCGCGCACAAGATTGGCGCATATTTGGCGGCGTCGACGTGCTCAGGGACACGGACGGTTGCTTCTGAACGCAGGATGCAGTATTCGCCATCTAAATATGCATTAGCCAGTGCTCATGTTCCTAAGATATGTCATGCAGAAATCAAGGTGATTAAAACGACTTACATCCACCGTTTTTAGTAACGCCATTGATGGCTTCGTTATCGCACATCTGATACCACCCCTTGCTGCATGCATTGCAGGTCTCATCGTGGCCGCCATGCCAGCCACCACCGACTCGGTCGCCGACCTTCCATAACTTGACGCTATTGCCAATGGCTGCGACTCTGCCAATTATCTCGTGGCCTGGGCATATCGGAAAGCCACCACCTAATACGTTATATTGGCCGTAATAGTCGCTGTAGCATACGCCACATGCTTCTACCTTGACCAGCACCTCATTGTCTCCAGGAAGCACCAAGGGAGTTTCTTGGACTACGAGATTTTCACCCTTGCCGGGGAATACTGCGCGCTTAAAGGTTTTCGGGAGAGACATTTCTTCGACTATTAGATTTTCCGGTCTTTGCGTTTGAATACAGCTGAGCGAATATTAAAGATATCTATCATGTCACAATACGAGAGCAGAACAAGAAGCCGCATTGCTCTTTATGTGAATTCTATCTACGCCTACTCTACTCTCAACTCCCTACCTATTTCGAACTTCGAAGCGGCGTCAAAATAAATCTCCCCAAGTCCGTACAGGGAACCTTCAACTATCCACAACTAAGGAGTACTTCCCTAAGGCTTCGATGTTCGCAAGCCACCGAAAATCTTGGTTTTTTGTAAGCTTTGTGTTACTTCGCTCTTTGCTTCCTGGAAACGAAGTGGACCGCCTTCAAGCCCGTTTCCTAAAGGAGAACCGGAGTCACCACGTGCGGGAGCCCACTATGCTATGTAAAGCGTATACCGATATTGGAAGAAGAAAGAAAAAGAAGACAGATAATGCGAATCTTGTGCAACTATATTACATTCATTGTTTTGGAATTTAGGCGGAGTTATGTAAAATCCGCCAACCATGAGAATTTCTCTAAGTAAAATTGTAACTGCATAAATCATAAATTACCTAACGCAGATATTTAAAACTAACACTTGGCAGAGCCTTACTGAATTACTCATCACACATTATTAATATTAACATGGTATGCTCTATCGTATCCTTTGGGTATTATACTGAAGGATTCTTTCTGAGCCAATGATCGTGTAATATGGCTTGAAAAATTACTATAAAAGGAAACCATCTTGTGCGTATGATAATTATGCAAAGTAGCTACTTTCAATGTTCGATGGAGGTTTTATTTCAAGTATCTTGGATGTCTATTAGTTAGTGGTTGTGTTTGTTTTCAAAAGCCACTGTTTGGTGGTTACGATAAAGCCGTATGGAGCTACTACTAAGACTAAAGATATTCGACGATGTATCTCTTGAATATCACAACAGTATGAGATATTAAGCTAATGTTTTATTTTTTATTAACCTATGAAAGTATGTAATGAGTTATGGGACTTAGAAATTGCTTTTACACATATACAAGACCATAAAAACTATAGAAATTGCAACCCCCTTATTCTCTACAAAGATAATTTAATAACAGCTACTAGTAGACTTGTAGTTAAGTTCCAGGACAACATTATATACTTGTATAAAAGACTTTTCAGCTATATTAACATGGCCACAATAGGCCCTAAAGAAGTATAAACCCGAACTAAATTATCACCTGTAGGTACCACCACCCCTTTTTAGGACAGCCTATCTACCTCTAGTCTATTATCTAACTCAGCTAATTGGGAGTAATCATTAAAACGAATGACTATTAGACTACAGGTACCAAATCCCTGACTCTATATGTACCTGTAGTTAGTTGATACAAAGAGGAATATTCGACTACCCCCAACACATCCCAGATGTGAATTCCTACCTCTGAATCGTGCGAGAATATTCTTAGAAGATCATCATCGCAGGTCCGCTGTCCTCGCCGTGTCGCCCCTTGGGCTTGACGAAACGTTCGCGCGTTAGGAACAACGAGCATATCGTAAATATAGCGGAAGTAACTATGACCAAGATCCAAATCTTGTCGATGGCCTCAACGATGACAGCAATAGCAGCTGCGCGAATCTCAGGTGACGCTTGCGTTAGCACCTCACTTCGTGCGCCCGCAACCGCCGCTTGGATATCTGCGTCGGTGTAGCGGTCCGCTGGTAAGACCGCACGAATTCCAGAGAACGCCTCTGCTTGAAAGATGGCGCTCGCAATAACCAAGCCAACTAGTTGTGACGAGCCTTGCGAGATGTTGATATATTGGATTAAGTCTGCTGCAAGTTCCGGTTCTACGAGCAAGTGGCCGATGGCATATGGCGCTTGAGATGCTGTCATCCCAACTGCTAGAAGGATTGAAAACCCTATGATCTTCGCGTTTGACGTGTAAGGATCTACGGTGTACATGGCTGCTGAACCGGCTGTAAGGAACAGCCCCGAGAGCAAGAACCACACGATATGGTACCCAACGCGACCCATAACGGCACCACAGATCAAGATAGCTGCGACGTAGAAGCAGATATAAGGCAACAAGCGGACAGCAGCTTGAGTGCCACTCTCACCGCGTGCGAAGAGGTAGTAAAACGGAATATAGTAAACCGCAACAAACAAGCTCAGACCGCTGCAGAACATAAGGATATACATAAGCACGAGCTGCGGATTCCGCAAAAAGCTGCACGGGAACAGCCTGTTGACCTTGTCGGTTAGGATAGCGAACTTCTGCGTAAGCACGAAGGCGATAAGCAGGACGAAAGCTAGCACGATCAGAGTTATAGTCCGCCCGTCGTTCCAGGCCCACTCGACGCCGCCGAAAAGGAACGCTACTGTGAAGCAGGAGTACATGGCCGAGTTAAGCAGGATGCCAAGCCAGTCCATTAGCTTTGCCTTCTCAAGGAACGACATCTCCGGCCGACGCGGAACAGAGGGGACCAGGAACAAGTAGATGGGCGACATGGCGCCGAAGATGACGAGGTTAAGGTAGAAAGCCTGCAAATGAGTTCCATGTTAGCATAGGTAATTACAACAACGCGAACTCCTTGTTCGAGGATAGGGATTGAGCAACAACTTACCCATCTCCACGTCGCCGGACTATCAGCAAGTAGACCTCCAACCACCGGTCCAAGAATAGCTCCCGCGCCGTAAATAAACCCCGTGCCCGCCACATAAACAGGCTGTTCCTTCGGGAGCACAAGAGCCGTCGAGATGTTTAGCGTACCCAGATACATCCCGGACCCCCCGAAGCCGGCCCAGACTCTCCCGACAATCATAGCATTCATACTAGGCGCCGCGCCACACAGCGCGCTAGCAGCAGCGAAGTTCACCAGACACGCGATAAACACCCATCTATTGTCGAAGATGGCGTACGACTTGCCGATGGGCAGGATACCCGCGGCCGAGCCCAGCGTGAACCCCACGCCCAGCCACCCCAGCTGCCCCGTGTTTTGGTACGTCTCGGCCACGGCGCCCTGGATGTCCGCGGCGATAGTGTTGTCGAGGCCGAAGAGCAGGTTCGCCGAGAAGATGGACAGGCAGACTAAGAACCAGCGGAAACCTGTTACGGCCCGCTCTTGAGGCTCAGATTTCTCTTGAAGGGAGGCATTGCGCGGCGTGACTTGGTCTAACGCCTCCGGCGGGCTGGACTCGACGTTTTGTGTCGATTCGGAGTTGGACTCCTCGGTCTTTTGCTCCGCGGCAATGTCGTTGTTGTTGCTCATCGTTGCTGCTAGATTGACCTTGCCTTTTCTCGTTCGTTAAGCGTCTAGGGAGCGAACACTAGGACGAGAGAAAGCCTGGCTAGTTAAATAGGTAGGTAGGTAGTTATATTAACTACTCTTTTATTTAAAATGGTACCATCGCGTAGATATACACTAAGCAAGACCCCTTTGTTGGACCGTCATCTCATCATATCTTATGGTGACGCCGCATGTGGCATCAAAGGCGATTATCCAACAGCAGAAGCAGCAGAAGCAGCAGCAGCAGCATCAGCAATCCCGGGGTTTAGAGCCCAAACACCAGCAGAGATTTCCCATCCGTAGTACAGTTATCTCCATAAGGTCGACCTACTGTTTTCTTGGCTTGGGGCGGGTCGCAGGTCAAATATCACATCTGTCGATACCCACACCCACTATGACTCAACCCAAGACCGCCGAATTTTGCCTTATCGCGCCCCTTCTCCGTAACTCCTATGGGAAAGTGCGGCTCTTTGCCTACGGCGTTGCTCCGCATATCCGGATACCCGGTGTTCCGGCCCCACTTATATATCGGAAAACGTTATATCTGCTGCAAAGGAAAGGAGTTGCTCCTATTGGTAAATATATACGTGACTCTGCTCCACTAAATACATGCTACATCATGCTACCCTCTAATATATGCACATTGATATATGCGTGTCCATCGGTCAGAATAGCGTGCATCTAACAAAAACAAAAGTTGGAGTCGGGTAAAATGAAAGTCACATGTAAGGGAGAACTACAATAGCAGGGATATGATATGCTTAGTGTATGCTGTTTTGATCATAACAGAACTGGAAAGAAATTCGTCACTTGTAGATAACTGTCAGACAACCCACCTTGCAGTACAGGATTATAAAATATCACCCTTTTATATACAAGTAGCTACCTACGTAACTGAATAAACCAACGTTTTGAAAGCAATATAAATATAATATAAAAGCGTATCGTTATCATGGTATAAATTCTAATATACTATGTAATAGCTTTCATATTTTAGAGTAAATCAAGAGTGTGGCAAATCTGAGAGTACGTTGATTATTATGGCTTACAGTTGTTGCCAAGCTTTGCCAAGTTGACAACTTTTAAAGGGGACTTCCGTATTAATACAAGGAGTTGCGCGAGAAAAGGTGACACCCTTAATATGGTCTCGTACTGAAGCTTTAAGAGTCGCATTTTCATGCATTCTGGGCTAGATTTTGTGGATATCTTGTTTCCGTGGTACCAGCACGGGCATCGCATGCCGGGCCCCGAAGGACCCATCGGGCGGGCACTGTGTTTTAATTTGAGGAGCTGATAAAGATTTCTAATACTACGTATAGTTATACCTACCTAGAACATACCATATAACATAGAAATTTACCTCTTGTAGTATTTCTTAAGGCGAGATTATACTCTTGTTAGTCTAGAAACTAGTCTTGGTTAAAGCGTAGTATCCGGAATACCCGAGATTCGATGTTTATGCCAATAGAAACAAATCTTGCAATAGGACAGTAATTTGCGAAATAGACCCTAATCCCCCTGTGATTACTGGATCTATGGCTTATGATTTTATATTTGGGCGCTTCGAGATACGTGACATCACTAAGGTTACTTAACTTAAAAGATGTCGTAGGTGGCTACTCAAGTATAAAGGTATTTACATATCAGTATGCTTATACTCAAGACCCATCTTCGGAATACATCCCTTTTAAATCTCAAAGATACGAGAAATATCTGAACACTATAACTAAGTAGCTCTGCATTTGCTCTAGCAAGTTAAGGAATACGTTTGCTCAACAACCTTCAAGTATAGAAAGCTTCATTCGTTTTCATTATTATAGCTTCTACATAGATGGCTTATTATTCTGTAGGATCTATATTCGGCCATAAAACATTCGTAGTATTGTACCCATCGACTGCAAAGGCCAGGTCCATTGAATCTGCTAAGATGCCTTGCATCACCGCGATAGTGTCCTCATCAAACATAGGGAATCCAACATCTGTTTGACCCATGACTGTACCTTCCTGCTCGTTTTGGGGCATCATGGTAATGGGCTGACCCCCCTGAGTTATAAGTCTATCTCCTTCATTGATAGGCTGAGGCATAATCATATGGTCAGCCGTCACACTAAGCTCACGCACCAGTTCGGCCGCACTCGCGGCTACGGAAAAGCTATTTCCAAAAATGCCCAGAGCATCAACCGAAACACTTATGGCTTCTCGCGCCGCCGGTGTTAGTTCGTCGTGAGGATGGGATAGTACGAAGCCGACCAGAGTCATGGCGACATTCCATTCCCATTGAAAGGCTTCTTGCCAGCCGGTAAGTATATCTGTTGTTGATAATATTTGTCGCATAATATGCGTGAGCGCCATAGCGTGGCTAGCGCATCTGTGGGCACAAGATTCTGCAAGCGACGAAGACTGAGATGATACTAATGAGTATGGAGACCGCTTGAAGGATATAAATGGTCGATATAGATTTGTACAGAGATTGTGATATAATAGTTCTAATAGTAGACGTTGGCGTTGCACCCAGAGCGGGGCGAACTGTTCAATCTCTACCGGCGAGAGGTCCGTTGAAAAGGGGATTCCATGGTTTTTACGTTGGGTTTTTAATGCGTCAGGCACATCCTTAACCCACTGCTCCAAAGCCCTCATACGCATGATAAGGAATTCAGCATACGTCTCCATGGCCGGCGGTGCGTCATAAATCGCTTGGCTACCATCGTTCTCGACAATATCTGGATACTTGTCGTAAAAAGCGGTGTATACGTCGCGGGCAGCAAGGACAAGCTTAGTATTGTGTAAATTCCAGCTAAGCCAGGTAACATCATCGTCTAAAGGCGCAAAGCCTGACCCTGATTGTGTGGCGGCTTCGTGGTCATCGGCTGGTAGACCGCAACTCGCATGCGACAGGTGGAGCATAAATGGTCGACCCAACTTCATACTAGTTTTAGTCTCGGCGACGTAAATGGACCACCATAGGCGCTTTCGCATCTCCCTCTCGCGTTGGGGCATACTTTGCGGTGGCGGTAGATGGAGGCCGAGCATCTGAGCTGTCCTTGCTGTGACGGCCAAGGTGCTATCCGCCATATTTTGAAATGAAGCACAACATAACCAGACTACGGATAATATGTTGCACTGCAGAGTTGATATTGTAGGACTCTCCAATTCGCAGGCCAGAAGGTTTTGACAGCGACAATAATGCCAGCGACCGGCGAGCGTCGCATCATCAGTATCGACGTTGGCATTCCCCAATACCGAATTATTATTACCCCGACCCCTTGCCATGCCATACTGCATGCACAAGGCTATAACGATATCGACGAGGGCTGATGGTTTGCGTTTCTTTCTCGATCCGACCCATAATGATTTATAATGACGTCTGAAATCATCTTCATCGAGGACTAGGAGAGAAGTATGATGCGACTGCCAATATAAATCTAGGAAGTATTCTTCCTGCGTGGCAGTCAAGTACTCCTTAGCCTTAATAGGATCGTCAGGTGGTACTTGATTATTCTCATCTGTCTGTTTATCTGGTGGACTTGTAGGACCATCAAGAAGTCTACTGGCCGAGTTTGGTTGCAATGAACTTTCGGGAAGATGTTGTTGCAGCGTTGAAGCCAGGAAGGCATTCAGACGACTAATAAAGTAGAGTAAGGATGCGGGCCCGTACCAAGTTTTCGACGCGGATCTGGCTGTGTTAGTATATATACCTTCCCAGTATCTCCTAGAAGATACAGTATCATATGAAGAAGGACCCGACGGGGTTGTGATAGAAATGCTTGACGAAGATGAAATATTTGGGGGAGTCGGAAGTTGAGAGGTAGAGGTTCCTGTCGGGGTAACGACTTGATTTCTATTACGGCTCCGTTCCTCTTCGAGTTCTTTTTGAAGTTCTTGATTGCGTTGCTTAAGCCGCTCTATCTCGCGGAATGCATGGGGGAGAGTGCGAACTCCATTTGTGCGGTCATTACTACACTGACCGCCTCTAGTCTGACAGTTGAGGCATGGATGATTATTATCGCACTTGATTCTGTGTACACGACAGTAATCGCTAGATAGAGTAGAGTCAATACAAGATGACGTAAAAAAGGACGACTATATAAAGGTATGAATTTATAGATGTATAGACGTATATATGTATTAGATGTATTAGATGTATGATAAAAAAAACTTACCAAGCGCGCGCTACCTGGCTCCGTTTCTGCCGGGGCCGTGGAGGCTGAGACCCATTCGGAGAAGCGGAGTTCGGACCGGATTCACTAGATCTTGGAGACGGACCTAAGAAAGTGGTGAACATAGTTGGTAACTGATGGATCATCTGAAAGAAATATGGGATATACGTGATATACGTGATATATATAAGTATATCAATTGAGGTGGTTTATAATGTTTGAATAGAAGAATGGCTTCATTGATGCTGATGTAAAATTGCTGATGTAAATAGAGAGAAAATGAATTTTGGGGATCAAGTATAATCACTAAGTTAGATCTTTGTATAAGAAGATTAGTAATAATATGGAATTTCCTTTTCTCAGCTAAGCGATTTTGAAGATATTTCATTTCAAACAGTCGGTGCAGTAAAAAAAAAAAAAAAAACCCTCTTGTAAAAATAAAAATAAAAAGTCGGAACCAACAAGATCGTCGGGTCCGCGATTTGTGTCAGCACTAATCCTGCAACCTTGAGATCCCTGTTATTAAATTAAGTAATACCCGCAGACCTTATGCCTAAGTCCGTAAGTTTCTTGGTTGCGTAGGATTGATTATGTATTTAAGTAGCTTACGCTATCTACGGCAGTTACGATATAGGTATACGACAGCTTAGGGTACGGCTAAGACCGAGCTGGCTCCTTGAGGAATTATAGGCGAACCTACCTAATCTTTCAAGGCTATATACATGTATACCGTCATATACTTACCTACCTAATATACCTTTACATAGGCATGTATGCAATTAAAGCATGCACCTTATAAAACTCCTATCCGGTCTTCACCTACGTAAAGTCTTAGAACGCGTTTATCGCTTATTTGCCTTACCTCTCAGCCTGAGGTATTTATTTTATTTTATTCTTATACGTATTCTCTTCTACGTGTTGTTTAGGAGGTACCTAGAGCAGGTATCCTTGCCCTTCTGTGGATTTGGTATACTACAAACACGCTGCCAGAAAATAAGTCATTAGGAATACAAGTCGTAATTTTGACGGACCTGCTTTCCGAAAACAACGATGCGTCTATTGCCTACCTAATGTAGGCTGGGCTGAAAGCCTCTTATGAGCCACCTAGTACAGCGTGACGTGACCTAAGCAGGTAAAACATACCCTGCCTATCTGCCATATCTACCGTATCTCGTCTTAAGCTGATTGACCTTAAGTCCTGGGTATGATGGGGAGGCCAATAAGTGCAATCAAGTCTGAGTCTGTAGGAATACCAACGCTACAGACCACGCGGGAAAAAAAAAAAAGAAAAAGTAGTTACAAACAAAGTGTGAGGATATCGACCTCACTGAGTTCCCTTCCGGCCCTTATTCCCACCTTTATACCTTTGCCTTAATGGAACGCCTTATGATGCAAATATGAGTACCGGAGAATTATCGCAACGCCGTAAAATTGTCTCAAGCTGGGTGTCCAGCATTTCCGAACCGGACCAAATCAACTCAACTCGGAGGAGTAATGTGAAGATAACGCATCATAGGAAGATGCCGACCCACGCGGCCTTCGCGCTCACATCCGAGCTACAGTCTTCAACGGCGCAGATCACCTTGTTCTTGGCGCCGCTAGGGTCAGGTCGGAAACCTACAGGGATGCGATTCTTGCCCGTGGATTTGCGGTATTCGTAGCACTTCCTGCAGTAGACCTAAGAATATATTAGGATACCACCTTTTTTGGGCAGGTAGTTTCATCGATACTTACATGTCCGCAGGCCTTAACGGCCCAAAAATGATGCTCGGCCTTGTCTTTCTTCGTACGAGCTTTTCTGGAAGGTGTAGCTGCATTGCTCATATCATCGTCCGGATCATATGCTAGCTCCTGGTCGCAACTGGGACAGATAGCTACGACATCCTCGCCCGTGTCTCTCGTAAATCCTGGTCTTGTATCTTTTGGAGGCTCATGTGCAGGCTTCGGGTTAGCGCCTACTGGTGCGGGCTGTGGTATCGGAAAAGGACGAGCGTCATAGTCGAGGTCCACCGGAGGAAGGTTGGGTTGTGGTATACCCTCTTGCATTACGTTACGATGACCTAGCACGACTAGATCATCGTCGTGGTTGTTTGCCATAGGGTTTTGATTATTGAGGAGACGAAATAGAGGAATATGGTTCATGAGATGTTGAATCTGATTAAGAGCGTGGCGGCCAGGTAGGATATCTGGCTGCAACTGTTGCCGCAGTCGATTGTGATTTCGGACAAGTTCATCTCGAGGATTGCGAGGGGGCGGATTATTTCGTCTAGGCTGTGGCATTATTGCGGGCTCGTCGTCGGAATCCGAGACGAGGTTGATGACGGTCTGAGGATTCATGTAGCTAGCATCACTGCGTTCTAGTCGGGGAGGAGTGCCTCGCTGTAGTGAACGTCGTCCGCGGAGAGTCTGATAACGATTTCGAGGTGCATGTTGAACAGGACTATCACCTGTCAAATCAATCACCTCAGGTTCTCTTTGAGGCTGCTGCTGTCTTTGTCTCCGAGCCGCGGGGTTCCCAGCCCGCTCTACCTCAAACCCTACCAGCTCATCTCTCAGGTTCTCCCGATCTCTAAACCCATCCATCGTGGGCGGTCTATAGTTTTCCGCGGCGTTATTCCCTTCTGGGCTGCTCGGCCAAAGATCTGGAGATAGTTGATTAAATCTATCAATATGACCGTCTATATCGGGGCGGTTGTCCACAAATAGGCTTTCTTCTGAGTCATACGCATCGAAGAAATTGTCATCAATGTCCATAGGAGCATATGGATTATCCAAGAGAATATCGTCGCTGCCTACCGAGAATTCGTCAGGGTAAACAATGTCGTTGATGAATTCTAAAAATTCCTCGGAATCGCTAGATGATATGGAAGAGGATATAGTACGAGGAGCTGAGCTGCTGCGACGCGGGGGGGTTTGATTGTAAATATGTCGAGAACGTGGTTGGATACTGGGAGAAGACTCGGTCATAATAGAGTTATCACCATCATCTTCTTCTTCTGTGCTTTGAGGGGACAATGTAGGAGTCGCAACAAAGCCTGGAGGGGTTGATGATAAAGGATCTGGAAGATCAGAATCGGCGATTTCGGCCATATCAAAATCACTTTTAATGCTTCTAGGTTGGCAAAAGGTTAGTGGTCAGTATATGAAATGGTAAACAGAACAACGGGTATTGTTGAATGTGAATGGTCCGAGGCATGAACCGTGCAAACTTGAAAGAATGTAAGATTGTGCAAAAACTTACCAACACCAACACCAACTGAATATCTGAATACCTAGATTAGGCCTTACGGGACCGAGAATATAAGATAGGGTTAGGAACGTAGGCTTGTAAGGTAAATTATCTATGCGCTATCATTTTACTGAGCACGCGTCAACGGACATTGCCTGCCACATAGCAGAGTTGAAATACTAGAGTAGTATTTCTCCGTTGACGTTGATGTTGACGTATGCTTGCCGCCGCGTTGTAGATGTCGGGGAAGCGACGAAAACGTTGCGACGGCAGTTGTTGAACTTGAATGATTTGTGAAAATGAAAAGGAAGGAATGATGAGAGGAGAAGAAGAAGAACAAGAAAAAAAGAGAACCAAGGTTAGGTACCTAGGTCATAAGGTATGGCTTGGTTTGCTGTAGGAACAAGCGCAGATAGTCGGGAAACTATGGCGCACGATATTCAATGGCGAAATTCACATTTAACGCGAGCCTCGCAGTTAGATCTTTAGGTACTGTACGTGCGCAAGGGTTTCTAGTTGGTTGTTACCTAAGGTACCTAAGGTACTAATTACATGTACTTATGGCAAGGATGACGCCGCATTACCAAATCTAGGTACCTTAGGTACCATGTAACTATTTGGTATCTAAGGTAGGTACGTTTACTTTATTTGGTTATCTAAACCCCGATAGCTGACAACATGAATTGAAGGTAGTTGCCCCACATAGCTGGTAAAACAGCCGCACCCAAGAAGCCTTACGCGCTAAGGTTGTTTCGTATAAGTGCAGCTACATGTATGTACCTAATGTAATGTATCTATGTTAAGGTGCATACATTACATATTTAGCTTTTATCCAATAAGAGCACACATTTAATGCGGACATTTTAATTAAGAGTGCATAATTCATGTAGACATATGAAGATACATAATTAAGAAGATTACGAATTACATACTTGAGCATACGATATCAATATACTTTGATTATCAGGTATGTATATATATTACACATAGAGCACATTATTGAAAAACAAAGATATCTACGGACATGCATTAGATAATGTTGGAAATCAGAATTATTCTCTCCTTAAGTTAGGTACCTAGCTATGCCTTTTATAATAGGCCTATTTCATTGATTTATATCACCTAGTTAAGCAACATTAGAAAACTTCAACTTCTCACAAGAATGTATCGTTGGTGATCCCATCCCCTATCCATATTGTACATTGATGAACCCCAAGCTATCATCCAGTGCTGGTTGTGATATAAAGCATATTTTGGCCTACCTAGCCCATATTTATCCTCTTATTGGTTCGTATTATCATTGGATGAGGATTACCAGCCCAAATTACGACTCCTTAGCGGTAAGAACACTAATCACTCCATCTCCATTAACAGCTACGAGCTTGTTTGCATTTCCAGTCCACTTGACGCTGACTGCACTGACTGCTGCTCGTAAAGGTTCTGACCAAGACTTGGAGCTTTTGCTGTATTGCTGTACTGTGACTCCGGCGGGTCCAGCTGTTGCGAGAAACTGCTGCGAATAATCCCATGCGAGGGCCTGTACTGCGCTACCGATATCCAACACCTTGACCTGTGCAGCTTCCCCCTCCTTGCGCAGATCAAATATAGTAACCGTAGTCTGTCCCTTTGCCGTGGCTGCAAACCAGAAACCATTTTCGGAGAAGGTAATGGCTTGCACAGGAGCCCCTAAGTGGAACGAGGCTGCTTCCTCTCCGGTCTTAGTCATAAATAGCTTGATCTCGCCAGAACTGGTACCAGCAGCAAAGAGATGGCCGTCAGGATGGAAGGCGCAAGCTGTTAAAGCTACAGTAGAATTTAGCAACAATATTAATATAAACACTTCGGAATGTTAACTTACTGGCATTGGTGTACACACGCGTGGCGCGACGCAAATTAGCCAGATCATAAAATACGAAACTCTTGTCAGAGCCGACAGATGCCAATATTTCCTTGCTCGGATGAATGGAAAGGCCGGTAGCTGGGCCGGCGTGATCGGAGAATGATGCGATCTCGCTGCCATTCTCAAATACTTTCACAGAGCCCTTAGAAGTCGAGAAGAAAACTCTGGACCCGTCCCATATCGAATCCGTCACGGGTTCGTTGACTTGTAATGCACGCTCGACATTATCCGAATCAATCGAGTAGATAGCAACGTCACCCTGCAATCCGCCCACAGCGGCATAGGTAGCCTCGACACTAACCGTTGTAGCTTGGGGGACGGGGAGAGAGTTCGTGGTTTCGACTGCGAACGTAGCAATATCCTCTGCTGTTGCCCAATCCTCCGGAACGGGTCGCTTCTTTCGGCTCTTGGATAGTCTATTGGTATGTTAGTTTTATCATATAAATGGAAGAAAATCGCAGTACGAACTTCGCTTGTGTCTCGTCCACCTTAGCTGCTAGCTCCTCAGGTAGGGCTTCAGCGTCGACCGCCATAGCATCGCCATTGTTTGCGCCGCCTGCCGAAACAGTCACCTTAGACAGCGCATCTCGAGCTTCGTCCCGTTCTTTAGTCAATCTCGCAATAACACGGACAGCTGCATCATGCTGGTAAAGGGCCGTCGCAAGCTCCTCCCTCGTTCGCGCCAGCTGTTCTCTAATATTATAGGTCTCTAGCGCCAGGGCGTCCCATTCATTTTGGAAAGTAGATAGAAGGGCTGGTATCGAAGTGAGAGTAGGCGGTCGGGGTCGTACGACGCGTGAAGATTTGATAGGTAAAAGGTCGTCGAGGGTTAAGTCCTCCCCGCTCACAGGATCTTTTCCATTCTCTTCGATATACTTCTCAATCAGTCGCTTCTCAAATACAGCGCCTAGTTGATATTAATTTAGTCAAATAGTATATCAAACAAAGCGACATGACCATACCTGATAATTTGGAAACGACAGGCTCTTGAGGAGCTTCACCGGAAACTATATCGCGTTAGAAATATAGAAAAAAAAAAAAAAGTTAGTTATGAACATTAGTGAATACTTACGAGAACACAGCATTATGGAAAACCTCAGACTGGAGATAATTGTATCTGATTGCGTTTAATTGCTGACTTTTCTAGGTAGGCTGAGCTCAATCAATAAAATTTCCAAAGTCAGCAGTTGATAAGTTGATAGCTCTAAAGCTTCGTTAATTCCTGCGCAATGTTGACTTTGAACTGATTGGTTTAAAAGTAGGGAGACCGAAGTTGGCCCGTAGACAATTATGCATATAACGGTCCGTCATTTATCCGGAATTTAATTCGAGTTTGAACCTTCCTTAGCGCGCCGGGGGGGTATTTGAAAATACTTACAGTAATTATTTTAACATATAAAATACTTATATTATTATATTAACCGTATAAAACTATTACACTTTTTAAAAACGGTTATAGTAAGTTTATTTTAAACGTAAATATATTATATATATAAATGTATATTTTATAAAATATTTATATATATTTTATATTAATATTATAATATAATATTATTTTAAACTTAAATATAAATATATATTAAAATATTAATTTATTAATTAAAATTTTTATATTACAATATTATTTTAAAATTAAAATTATTTTAATGTATAAATATTATTATTAATAATTTCTTTTTATTTTATAAAATTATAATTATTTTTAATATATTTTTATTTAAAATAATATTTATAATATACTTTTTTATATTAAAATTTTTACGTTAAAATATTAATTAAAAATAATAATATTATATTAAAAAATTATATTTAATAAATATAATAATAATAAATATAAAATATAAATAAAGTATAAAATTATTATAAGTATAAAATCTAAATAAAATAAAAAATTATAACAAATATAAAATATAAATAAAATATAATAATATATTATAATTTTTATATTAAAATATTAACAAAAAAAAATGATTTTATTTTGAAAAATTATATTTAATAATTGTTATAATAATAAATATAAAATATAAATAAGTATAAAATTAAAATAAATAAAAAATAAAAATAAAATAAAAAATTATAATAAATATAAAATATAAATAAAATATAATAATATATTATAATTTTTACGTTAAAATATTAATTAAAAAAAATGATTTTATTTTAAAAAATTATATTTAATAATTATAATAATAATAGATAAAAAATATAAAAAAGTATAAAATATAAATAAAATATAAAATTATAATAAATATAAAATATAAATAAAATATAATAACATATTATTATAAATTAAAAATAAAAATAAAATTTTAAAAAATAAAAATATTAAAATTTTATAATAAATTATAAAACGTTTTATTTATATATATAAATATTTAAAATTTAAATTAAAATATTAAATTACAAAGTTATATAACGGAATTAAATAATTATTATAAATTTTTATAATAATTATAATATATATATATAATTTAGTTTATTAAAAATATTAATAAAATATTTTATGTTTAATTATATTTATAAACGTAAAGTTATTTTTATTTATAATAAAAATATATTATATATTTATTAAATTTTTATAACCTTCCCGCTATTATTAATAATTTTATAAAATATAATTAAAATATTTTTAATATTATATTTAAAAATTTTTTAAAAAATTATTTTATAATATTTTTTTAATATATCCTTAATATTTCCTAACATATATTTATCCATATTAATATTACGTATTTATTTATTCATCTATTATTACACATATTTTATTAAATTAAAATTGAAATTTATCCGAAATAAACAATTACTTTAAATTCCCAAACTATTTAACTATAATATTATATATTAAAAAAAAAAGTTTAAAGTTAAATTTATTAAAATAATTATAAATAAATATTTTATAATTTAATTATTAAATAAAAGTAAAACAAATTAAATATTTAGAAAGAAAATATAAAAACCTTACTTTTTATTACTAAAAAAAAACTAAAATATTCAACTACAATTTCCTTATACGAAGAATTTCTATTTAATAAAATTTATATAATTATAAATTATAATTTAATCTTTAAATATTTAATTTATATAAATAAATATAATGTTAATAAAAAAAAAATCTTTAATCTAATTATTTAAACGCGGTTAAAATTGTAAAGATTTATAAATATAAATAATACGTTTATTTTATAACTTATATATCATAATATCATAACACTTCTTAAAAATTTTATAATTATAAATTTATATACCTTAAATAATAAACATATTACTCTAATTTTAAATATTAAAAATAAAGAATTTTAATCTTTTATATAATATTAAATTATATATTAAATATTTCTTTATAAACAATATTATTTTACCTTTTATTATAACGTTATAATTTTTTACATTATTATAAATTAAACAAAATTAAGAAAATAAAATAAAATTATAAATCTTTTCCTTTATATTTAAAAGGTTAACGTAAATATTTTTAATATTTAATAATAAATAATTTAAATTTATTATAATCTTCTTATATAACCACATTATAACAAAATATAATATTTATATTTTAATATACTAATTATTTAATAATTTTAATTTAAAATTTTACCATATTTTGTTTAATATATTATTATAACAATAATCTATTTTTACATTTTAATTTACCTCAATCTCAATAAATTAAAATATAATATATCTTTAATCCTTTTCAACCATTATTAATAACAATTATAATTTAAACTATAATTATAATTAATAATAATTAAACTTATTTATATTTAATTAAATTAATAAAAAACGTTTATATATATATTATATTACGTTATGATATTAACAACTATATATACTTAAAATAAACCTTATAAATTATAAACAATTATAATAACACTATTAATTAATTACCTATTTTAATATTATATAATAAAAGTAAATATTTATATATAACAATATTTAAAAAATATCTAAAAAATATAAAATAAAAATAATAAATTTAAAAAACTAAATTAAATTAAACTTATAAAATTATATTTTTATATTTAATTAAAGCTTTTATATTTTTAATTTAATTTAAAATTAATTTAATTTATTTTAAATAAATTATTATTTTAAAATATTTATTTAATTTAAAATTAAAATTCTTTTAAATTATATAATTAATAAATATATAAAAATAATAGTTTTTAATTATATAAATATTTTAAATATAAAATTTTAAATAATTAATATAATTACATATATATAATTTTATAAAATTTTTAAATAATTTTAAAATTAAACCTATCTAATTTATTTTAAAGATATTTTAATAAAAAGAGTAAAATAGTTAAAATTTTATAAAAATTAAAATCTTTTTATTTTTTTAATAATTTAAGTTAAAATCTTTTTAATTTTTTTATTAATAAATATCTTTTTATTATATTTAATTATTTAAATTAAATTAATTAAATTTCTATTTTATTTGTTATATTTGTTAAAAGAAATTTAAATTTATCCATATATTAAAATTTTGAAGAAATAATATATATTTATATAATTTTTACTATTATTATTTAAATTGTTAAGACGTTTAAAATATCTTAAATTTCTATTTATTAAGGTTATAGATAAGAACTTCTTCTATTATCTATTTAATATGATTTAAACTCTTATTTATTAAATTTATAAACTATTATTTTACCTTTTTAAAACTATATAATAATATTAAAGATTAAAGGTATATTTAGTTTTATATAATAATATTAAAAATTAAAAATATATATTTAAAATAAATCTTTAATAAATTTATTTATAAAAATTAAATTTATTAGAAATTATTTATTATTAATAAATTAATTAATATTATAAATTAATATTATAATAAAGAATAAAAATAAAATATCTATTTATAATAATAAATTCTTATATATAAAGCTTGTAAATATAGGTTGGGGGGGGGGGGGAAGGTTTATATAATGATTTTTATGAAAAATTTAAAGAATAGAAAAAAGGGGTAATAATTATATATAATTATTATATTAATAAATAAAATATTTACTTATAATATATATATTAAATTAAGATATATAAAAAGTATGTAATATCTTTAAAATATAGAAAAAAAGTAAATATTAATAAATTTATTTTATAATATTATATATTTATTATTATTTTATTTTAATTTTTAATATTTATTTTATATATAACTTTATTTAAGGATTTTCTAATATTAAATTTATAAATAAAAAATTTATCTTTTAGAATTATAAAAAATTTAATAATTTTTGAATATATTTTAATATTATATATACCCTTTATATACAATTAAACATTTTTATTAAAAATTAATTATATCTAATAAAATTAATTAATTAAAATTATTATAACTTATCTTATCTAAAAATATATAGATTTTTAATAATAATATCTTATATTATAATAGAAGAATTTAAATATAATTTTAAAAATATTTAAAATTTATTAAAAATAATAAAAATAAATAATAATATAGTAATTTATATTATTATAGTAATATTATATTAATATTTAATAGTATTAATTATAATTCTTTTCTTTAAGACTAATTAAAGAAAATAAATATTTATTAGTATAATTAAATAATAATTAATTTAAATTATATATATAAATATTTAATTAAATAAATATTTAATAAATTAACAAATAAAAATTTATAAATATAAATATAATTTACCTATTATATTAACTAATATAATCCCCTTATATTATTATAAATAATAATATTATAAAAATAAAATATTATATTTTAAAATTATTTTAAAATTATTAAAAAAAAAAAAAATAAAAAAAAGAAAAAGATATCTCAATTCTTAATTATAAAAATCCTTTAAAATTAGCATTTAATTTTTAAAATTGGCGTTTTATTACCTTTAAAATAGGTATTAATAATATAAATAATAGGTAAATATATATAATTATCTTAAATATTTATACGTTTTAATATATAAATTTATTATTAATAATTAGTAATATTAAATATAAATAAAAAACCTTATTATTATAATAAAAAATTTAATAATAATTAAAAAATTTTTATACCTTTAATTAATTATAATGCTATCCCTTATTCTCCCTTGTTAAAAAA